CGGTTTACAGAGTCAGCATATTGCCCCCAACAACAATCCGGGTCCTCATTTCACCCACCTCGGAAGGATGGAAGGCTGGGTCAACCTTGAGAGATTTGAACCGCTGAACTGCAGATAACAGTCAGCTGAAGTGGCCTGCAGTACTGCACCCTAACCACTGCGCCACCTCGGTCCAACTCATTCTGGGCACCTTTTCTTTTTTTTGAACTATTACCATCTGGCAGACAGCACAATAAAAACGAGGAGAGATAGACTGAAAAACAGCTTCTATCCTAGTAACCATATAGAATTCTACAGTATTGTGCAATATTAATGCAATATCAGGTTTTCAATTTCAATTGTATAGCAAGTGAAGGGTGTGTCTTTGTGTTTTTACTTTTATAGTTATAATGTACACTGAAGATGGCATTTAATTTTGTTGCAATGACAATAAACTAAACTGAACTGAATTAAACCTGAACCTGAACCTGAACCTTAACCTAAACCTGAACCTTAACCTAAACCTAAACCTAAACCTAAACTTAAACCTAAACCTAAACCAAAGTCAATTAAGGTCAAATAAAGTCAAATAAAGGCAAAAAAAGTAAACCTAAACCTAAACCTCAAGTCAAGTCAAGTCAAGTCAAGTCAAGTCAATTAAGGTCAAATAAAGTAAGCCTTAACCTAAAACTAAAACTAAACTAAACATTGAGTTGATGGTGAGATCCCCAAAACAACTGTAACGGATCGTGGTTTTTCCACGCACAACTTGTTTGCTCTTTGGGAAACATCTGGGGAAGTTATGGAGACAACAGGCTGCAATGACTCGGAAGGACTGACATATGTGTGTTTTTCAGGTGTTGGGAACCAAACCTACTCTGCCAGCAGCTACGACCGATGATACCCAAGCTGACGCCACCAACAGAAGGCTGGCTAAACTCTACAAGGTATAACCAAAAGGGAATGATGAACTATGACATGGGGGGGGGGCTTCAGGAGGTGGGCTGTGAAAGTCCACCAACATCCTATGGGGCGTTTTGAGACCAGGGGTTTGGCCTATTTGGTTTGGCTGAGGGCCATCTTTGGATCTTGGGTAGAATGCCGAGGGCTGCAGGCCAAAAATTGAAACGCGCCAGAGCAAATACAAAATTTACCTTTGAGCCACTAAATTAAACTCCTCTATTTAAAAACAGGTGATGAAACTCCTCCCTACCAATTGTACTATCTTTGCTTGCTGTTGCGAGTAACATTGCAATAGCTGCAGGAGGACATATTCAGGAGCGGAGAGAGAAGGTGGCTCTCATTGACCATATTTTTTTGGAGTATAAAATACACTTCCCCCACCCCAAAAAAGGGTGAAAATTTGGGTGCGTCTTATACACTGAATGTAGCCCGGCAGCCCCCACCCTTTGGCCTCTGCCTCCCAGCAATTTGCCTCCTTGCAGCAAGCAGCAAACAGCCTGTTTCAGCTTCAGCACAGCCTGATTAGCACAAGCAGCTGATTGTCTGTTGGATCAGCCTCCCGATCATCAGCTGTTTCAGGCTGCAGGGATTGCCATTGCCTTTTGCCCCTGCCAAGTGCCCCATTTTTGGCCTCCACATCCCATTTTTTGGCCTCTGCGCATCCGTTTTCGGCCTATTCTGAAACGGGCGGAAAATAGGGCACGCAGAGGCCAAAAACGGGGCAGAAAATAGGGCACGCGGAGGATCCTGTAAAGCAGTACTAAGCACTACTGCTACTCCAAAGTGAGCTTCCTTCAGCTTCATTTTTGGATAAGGGACAACAAGATTTAGAACAGAGAGGTGTTAACTTTTGCTTTCCAAGTGGGTAAAAAAGCATCTGGGCTTGTGTTTTTGCTACAGGTCTCCAACGGAGCAGGAAACATGGCTGTTTCCTTGGTGGCTGATGAAAATCCCTTCTCCCAAGCCGCCCTGGTTTCCGACGATTGCTTCATTCTGGACCACGGCACAAATGGCAAAATTTTTGTCTGGAAAGGTACGTACACCCGGAGGGATAAAACTTCCCATTTGGCAGCAAGGTTTTTGTGATATAAGTACACACCTGGATAAATAATGCTTATCCCTCTTTCGTCCCGTGTTAATAACAGGGAGAAATGCCAACTCTGAAGAAAGGAAAGCCGCTCTTAAAACTGCTTCTGAATTCATTAGCAAGATGAATTATCCAAGACATACCCAGGTAAGTGATGGAAGGAAACAAATCTCTAGCTCACCTGCCATTAGAAAGGGAAATTTAGGATATATGGAAAATAGATCTCAACCATGGAGGCTCCGTGGGAGACTTTGGCCAGTAGTTGCACCCCAACAATCCGGGTCCTCATTTTACCCCCCTTGGAAAGATGGAAGGCTGAATCAACCTTGAGCCAGTCAGGATTGAACTGCTGGCAGTGGGCAGAGTTAGCCTGCAATACTACACTCTAACCACTGCACCACCATAGAAGGAAGGAAGGAAGGAAGGAAGGAAGGAAGGAAGGAAGGAAGGAAGGAAGGAAGGAAGGAAGGAAAAGTAAAGAGAAAGTAAGGAAAGGAAAGGAGGGAGGGGAAAAGGAAGGATGGAGGNGGAGATGTGATAGCAGTGTCCCAATATCTCAGGGGCTGCCCCAAAGAAGAGGGAGTCAAGCTATTCTCCAAAGCACCTGAGGGCAGGACAAGAAGCAACGGGTGGAAACTAATCAAGGAGAGAAGCAACCTAGAACTACGGAGCAATTTCCTGACAGTTAGAACAGTTAAGCATTGGAACAACTTGCCTCCAGTGTTTTTAACTTGTCTTAAAACACTGGAAGCTTTTAAGAAGATGTTGGAGAAGCATTTGTCTGAAGTAGTGTAGAGTTTCTGCCTAAGCAGGAGTTGGACTAGAAAATCTCCAAGGTCCCTTCCAACTTTGTTGTTCTATTCCTATTCCTATTCCTATTCTATTCCATTCCATTCCATTCCATACTCTATTCTATTCCTTTTCTATATTCTGTTCCGTTCCATTCCATTCTACCCTATGCCTATGCCTATTCTATTCTATTCTACTCTATTCCATTCCATTCCATACTCTACTCTATTCCTTTTCTATATTCCGTTCTGTTCCATTCCATTCTACCCTATCCTTATCCCTATGCCTATCCCATTCTATTCTATCCCATTCCATTCCATTCCATACTCTATTCCTTTTCTATATTCTGTTCCATTCCATTCTATCCTCTCCCTATGCCTATCCCTATCCCTATCCCTATTCTATTTTATTCTATTTCTATTTCTTTTCTATATTCTGTTCTATCCTATCTTTTATTAGGAGCACAATGAATATACAACACTTTCATTAATAAATGACAGGTGACTATCTCTGTAGGTAATCCATTATTCGGGTCTTTGACCTAAAGGTGAGTGGAGAGCTACCTCAAAGAATCTGAGCCAGCTTGTTTTTACATGAGAAATCCAATTTGCAGTGCTTGTATGTGTACACAGACACACACAGACACACAAACAAATATATCTTTTGCACTGGCCTTGTAATCTTGCCCATTGACCCCCTCTTGTTTGCTCCATCCCCTGTAGAACATTCACCAGTGGTGCGGCTCTGACGCCAACCGTTTTGAGAGGCTGAAAGCCACCCAAGTGGCCAAGGGCATCCGGGACAACGAGAGAAGTGGACGGGCCAGAGTCTTCGTTGAGGATGATGGGGCCGAACGCGACGAGATGATCCAGGTCTTTTATTTATCGTAGACGTGAGCCCCTTCCGAGCCTTTCGCCAGAACTCGTTCCTCATCATCATTTTGAGTGGACAGAGATTTCCCCCGTGGCTTCCCCCCCCCCCTCCCGCTCTTCCTTTCAACCACTGATGATTTAATCTCCTCTCCGTATATTTTGTTTGGTCCCTTTTTCCTTTTCTTTTCCTCTTTAAAACTGCTGTCAATCACTGTCACCACTGGGTATGGCTTTGCCCATTGCACAGTGGCAGATAGGACAGCGCTCCAGAGAGTCAACGCCATTGCCCAGAGGATCATGGGTTGCCCTCTCTGCTCCTTGGAAGAGCTTTATAGCATCGTTAAGAAAGTTCAAAACATTCTTAATAGCAATAGCAGTTAGACATATATACCGCTTCATAGGGCTTTCAGCCCTCTCTAAGCGGTTTACAGAGTCAGCATATTGCCCCCAACAACAATCCGGGTCCTCATTNAAAGTAAGGAAAGGAAAGGAGGGAGGGGAAAAGGAAGGATGGAGGGAGAGAAAGAATGGAGGGAAGGAAGCAATAGCACTAGCACTTAGACTTATATACCGCTTCACAGTGCTTGACAACCCTTTCTAAGTAGCTTACAGTCAGCATCTTGCCTCCCAACAATTCGGGTCCTCATTTTACCAACCTCAGAAGGATGGAAGGCTGTCGACCTTCAGCCGGTTAGGATCGAACTGCTGGCAGCCCGCAATCAGCAGAAATAGCCTGCAGTACTGCCTTCTAACCACCGCGCCACCACCACTCACACTTAGGGTTTTCTTCCCTTTCAGATCCAAGTCCTCCCAGAGGGTGGGGAGACGCCTCTGTTCAAGCAATTCTTCAAGAACTGGCGCGACAGAGACCAGACGGAGGGGCTGGGAGTGGCTTATGTCTCTGGCAACGTGGCCAAAATCAAGCAAATACCTTTTGATGCAGCCACACTGCACACCTCGCCAACCATGGCAGCACAACACGGCATGGAAGACGATGGCACCGGAGAAAAACAGGTAAGGAAGCCTTGGGAGGCTGGTGGAGCAGAATGGCTACCCTCTTGGCTAAGGACGGTGGTGGGATTCAAATAATTTAACAACCGGTTCTCTGCCCTAACAGAGGGTGGGCATGGCCAGGTGGTCATGTGACTAGGTGGGCATGGCCAACTTGACGTCAATCATCACACCCAGCCCTGCCTCCCGGAGCCACTAGCCTCAAAGCCCTCAACATGGTACAATTTCCCCCTCTATTTATTTACTACTACTGAACATCCAAAATGGCCTGAAAATGGCCCAAAAAGCATCTGAAATATAGGCAGGGGCAGGGGCAGCCAGTGATGAGATTAGCCAGTTGACCAAATGGGGCAGAATTTTAACAAATGGTTCACCTGAATCTCATTGGCTACAGAGTTGGGTATATTAGTGAACAGCTTGGATCGCAAGACCCAGAAGTGAAAACAGAAGAGAAGGAGGAAGAATCATAAAAGCAGAAGATTTAAAAGTCCAGTTGAGTGGATGTATGCCATGATCTGCATATATCCAGGTTTGCGAGCTATAGAGATTCTCAACCATCCAGGTCAGGGCTGTCAAACTCAAGGCGCCTAGATCTGGCCTGCAGAGCCACCCTGGAAACAGCAAAGGACCTGCCCGTGGTGCCTCTGCCAGTGAAAATGGAGCTCGGGAGGGCCATGCACGACTCTCCCATGCACCGTTTCAGGCTGCGATGACCTCCTGCAGCCCTCTGCCTGCAAAAATGGAGCCCGTGCACAGCTTCCCCTGGCTCTGTTTCCATTGGCAGAGGGCTGCAGGAGGCTGTTGTTTCCAAAAATGGAGCCTCGAGTTACTGTCTCTCTCTGTCTCTTTCTCTATCTGTCTTTCTATCTCTGTCTCTATCTATCTATCTGTCTGTCTGTCTGTCTGTCTGTCTCTCTCTCTGTCTAAATCTCTCAGATGAATGCACCTCATGGGGTTGCTGTGAAAATGGTGGGGGGAAACATGATAGATCATTAGATCTGCTGCCTTCGGTTCCTGCCCGAAAAGCAGGCTAGAAAACGAACAGAGCTATTTGAGCTAGCTGAAGAATGAAAAACAAACCCAATTCCGGCCTAGCTGTTCGAAGCTCAAATGAGAAATCTGGGAGGGGAAGGCACAAGGTTTCCTTCTCGTTTAACTCCGTACGTTCTGGTTTGTTGACGGCTTTTGCTTCCCTCCAATGAAACGTCTAGAGGATATTTCGTTCAATGGCTTACAAAACACACACACACCGTTTCCCCATTTTCTGTTCTTCTCCAACTGACCTAACCGGTTCCTCTTCCTTCTTCCTCCTTTTTTTGCAGATTTGGAGAATAGAAGGTTCTGCTAAAGTTCCCGTAGACCCTGCAACCTACGGCCAGTTCTACGGCGGAGACAGTTACATCATCCTGTACAATTACAGGCACGGGAACAAGCAAGGAAAGATCATTTACACTTGGTAAGAGGAGCTTCTCCTTTTGAAGTTTGGCCGAGGGAGGCTAACAAAGGTTCTGAGCTCATCTTGACAAATTTTGTTGTTTTGTTTCTGGGAATCATAATTAGCAATAGCAATAGCAGTTAGACTTATATACCGCTTCATAGGGCTTTCAGTCCTCTCTAAGCGGTTTACAGAGTCAGCATATCGCCCCCAACAGCCTGGATACTCATTTCACCCACCTCGGAAGG